CCCCGTAACGTACGTACCGGCACGGTGGCCCGAACGATATTGCAGCGAATGGAAAGTTCCTCGACCTCGGAGCGCGGTAGCGGTCGCGGCGGCTCGAGACAAACAAGCGACGATCGCTGCGGCGCGCGGCGGCTCGAGTGACGTCACTGCGGCGCGCGGCGGCTCGAGACAAACATGCGACGATCGCTGCGGCGCGCGGCGGCTCGAGTGACGTCACTGCGGCGCGCCGGCGCGCGGCGGCTCGAGCCAGACGAGCGGCGAGCCGCGCCGTAGTTGAACGTGCGTCGCGTTGTCCTTCGAATTGCCGTACGAACGGCACGGAATTACGTGCGTGATCCTGTCGTTGACGTCTTCTTCGTTTCTTGTAGTGTGCACTTGGCGATGCGGAAAGAGAATGGCCGTGGAATGGCCGTCTACCGTAGAGGAGAGCCGCGAATTCGTCGATTGTCTTTTCCAACGGACGTGTGAATTTAAGTGCGCGCTTATTTTAGAGCCCTCGATTGGATACGCGTTTTCAAGATTCGCGGGTACACGTTAATCCGTGTGCGCGAATTTAAGGTACCTTCGTTCACGTGTACCTGTGTATGTGACGTATCCGTGTGTGTGTGTGTGTGTGTGTGTGTGTGTGTGTGTGTGTGTGTGTGTGTGTGTGTGTGTGTGATACGTGCGCAAATATTTATGAAAATTTAATGAAAGTTTCTCCGTTTCTGCATATGTGGTTCGACGTATGTACGCGCATAATTCCAGCGTTCCAAGTTTTATCCAGACTTTGTCACATAATTCTCAAAATATTTCTTTGTTTAGGTATACGCGGGCTACACGTTTACGCGCGTCACATACACGGATACTCGCGTACACGTTCGCGGATTCGCGCAAGTACAGATCATTTTACCGGCTACGAAATATTTCGAGAGATATTTCGGATGATTGTCGAATACATAAGAATTGACTGTGAACGAGCCTTAATGCGTGGCTACAAAGCGAGTCACAGTCGTAAGAATAATCGACTGCGATTGGTCAATTTCGTCAGACACATAAGAATTGACCAATCATCGTAGTATCGCGGGGGCCGACGGTTATCGGCGCTGGTCTGTTCATGAAGCATCGCGGTCATTCGATTGGCTCGCGTAAATCTGTGGCGTAAGTAATCCAGTAATTTCACCTAAAGCCTCCGTTACAATGATTCTCGGTTCTGTCTACAATGGTCGTACAGTTGTATCGATGGTCGCTTGAGCAGTCGCAAAGCAGTCGTAGTCGTAGTCGCTCGAATAGGTTCAATTCCTATTCCAACGACCACGACTGCGATTTATTGCCGCGACGGACCAATCAGAGAATAGTGTTATATGTCGTGTGTCATTATATATCGAATATATCGTGGGAAAATACCTCAAAAACAGAAAATCGGTTTCAGTTATACATCGATACGACCCAATCCATGACTCTACGATTCTAATGGCCGATTTTTTCACTTCCCGATAAAATTATCCGGAGGTTAATCTCAAGTTTTAGCCAATCACGTGCATGGATCTGGTAGTTTATCTCCTGGTTAACTTTAACCGCAACATAACTGGATGTGAAGAAATCGGGCATAAGACTGCGACTATTGTAGACAGAACCGAGAATCATTGTAGCGGAGGCTTGCTCGAAGACGCTCCCTCGTAATCCGAGACACCTTCGTATTTTCGCGGCCAAGTTGCGTCGCAGAGAGCAGCCAGTCCGGGGCCGTCGCTCGCGGCGCTCATCGTCCAATCCGCATCGATCGATGCCGCCGCGTGTAAAATCTGCGCGCACGTACACGTAGACGTGCGCGCGCGTCAATGCGCGTCAACAATCGCCGCGACGACGACCACCGCCAGTCCGCGAGTCCCGTACGTTTTCTTCGCGGCCGAGGCTCGAGACGTGGTTCTCCGGGCGCCGCGTGAATCCGCCGCCCCGCGAACACGGCGGGGAATGACGCGCGCGGACACGGCACCGCGCGACGACGAAGGTGGCGCGATTAGTAGCGGCGTAGCGCGCGCGCGACCCCCGACTCCGTCCCGCCGCGATGCCGTCGCCGAGCCGTCTGGACGCGGTCTACCGGAGCATCCTGCTCACCAAGTTCTTCACCAAGGGCTGGGGCAACCCGCAAAATCTGCGAAGGTGAGCGACTTGCCCCCCCGCTATCCTAACCTTTCGCGTCCTTGCGTCACTTGTTGAACGCCCCCGCGATTGACCGCGAGTTGACTTCCATCGTTATCTTCGCTATCTATAATCGCTCCCCGAACGGCGATAGATATGTGGGTCGAATGACTCAGCGCTATTACCGTCCACCTCTGTCAATGGGGGTTGACTTCGATTAGAGAGAGACAATTGGTGAATCGACTCACTGCCTATCTGTTTCTTAACCAGCCGCAGCTGGAAAGTGAGTTGAATCGTGATTGAAGTTGATTTGCATTGACAAAAACTGGAAGATTGCGGATCAACTTCAGACGGATCGTTCGTCTTTGATGCAAAACGCTTGGAACGATTGTTCACCGCCTCCTACTCTTTTCTAGCACTGTAGACCGACACTCGGCACTCAAGATTTACTCTGTGAGCAACGAAAGAATGTGAATCGCCAGTGGTTGATCAACGACAAAACGAATTAGACGACTCTGGACTGGCAGGCGGTTTCTTTATTTAACAATAAAAGTCTTTCTTCTTGTCGCCAGCAATGTTCTTTATTTAAATCCGACGTTTACGGATTGCGGTTCTTCTCAAGGAATTCAACAACAATATTACGTCGTTGATATTAAACCAAAAAGCACAAGAGTTTGGCATCCGTCTCTGGGCGTTTCGGAGGACTGTGTTGAATTCCTCGCGAAGGTCGAAACGTCGGATTTAAATAAAGAAACTGTTCGCCAGCCTAAAGTCGTCTAACAATTCTTTTCATCGTTGCTCTACGAAGTTACGTTTGGTGGTAATATTTCTCTCTGGCGACCCCAACTGGACGCACGTGACCTCCCATACAGCACCGAAGCTTTCAGAAACATTTCAGAAAACATTGTTGCAATGTTTCTGAAGTGTTTTGGCGCTGTGTGGGCTTTGTAGTATTTAAATATCACTCTGGTTCTAAACGGGTATCTCAGTGTCCAAATAATTTTGTTTCAGAATCTTTGAATTCAGGAAAGTCATCGCGAACCGGGAGGCGTGCTACAACATGATACCGTTCGACTACCCGATAGAGATAACGAAAGTACTCGGCACTTTTCTGACAATGCAGGCTCCACTGTTGTAAAAAAAAAAAGATTATGACACATGTGTTCCTGTCCGTAGGACGAAATTTGGTCGGACTGTCATATAATCGAGGGTCGATTCGAGTCGCCTTTTGAAAAGCACCTCCCAGGGATAATGCCGGACAAGACCAAGCTGGCGTACTTTCAGGTGGTTCTACCGCCCAAATGGAGCTCCCACAAGATGAAGCCGGTTTGTTTACACCTGGCGGGAACGGGCGACCACGTATGTAGCGTTGCTTCTCTGCGCCACCTTTCGAAGCACGTCCATTCCTGCCAAGATATTTACATTACTTTACTTATTAACTAGTTTTTTTGGCGACGTAGAAATCTTATCGCCAAACCGCTACTCAAGGAATCCGGGATAGCGTCGATACTGCTGGAGAATCCGTTTTACGGCCTGAGAAAGCCAGTTGATCAAATGTAAGAACCCGTTAACTGGAAGATTTGTAGAGTACAGAGTTACGTAGTCGGGGCTGGGGGGCTTCTCCTCACCGCACTGCCGTTTTTCAGACGGTCCAGTTTGCACAACGTGTGCGACATTTTTATCATGGGGGGCTGCCTGATAATGGAGTCGATCGTCTTGCTAAATTGGTGCGAGCGGCAAGGATTCGGTCCTTTGGCTCTCACCGGACTGTCAATGGGCGGACACGTTAGTTTAAAAGAAAAAAAACTCTAACAAGATAAAAGTGAGCCTTGTCACGTTACGCGCATCTTAAATATCTTGTCCCTTTCAGATGGCATCCTTAGCGGCTACTAATTGGCCGAAGCCAATCTCATTGGTACCCTGTCTGTCGTGGTCAACCGCTTCGCCCGTATTTACGGAAGGAGTAATGAGCGCATCGATCAACTGGGCACTATTGGAAACGCAATATTTCTCGGACGAAATGTACCAAAATGATCTCGCGAAAATGGTGAAAATTATCGATCACGACGTGAGTGCGCGACATTTGTAATTCTGCGGATAAATGTCCCTCGGAGCTTCATTCTTGTACAATATTTCAGGATGCTTTTTTAGCCGGCCAACATTTCGCGAAGCATTATCCTGCGAGCATGAAGAGGGTAGACAAGCTGAGAGAAGAGAGTAACGGAGACAATAATACTACGGGTGATGCAACCAGTACAAATTCTATCGATAATCCTAGCGGCGTTAACGTTACCGCCGAGTCCAAAAGTGATAGCAGTCAGTTGCAGTGTCTGATTGCGGAGGAGAAGGCGGCGGCCAAAATATTTCCCCTGAACCTGATTTCCAGCAAGTTTAAACCGAAGGAATCGAATGCTCTCAAGGGTAGGTGTCGGTCTCGTCCGATTAACTTGAGTATTTGTGTACGTTCTGTTAATTTTACGTTTGTGAATGAAAGAGTTTACAATACTTGAGATGCACACATCTCTTAATTTTCTTGCGATGAAAGTTAAATGAGTTTAAATACTTATTTACATGTTGTTTGTTATCTGTTAGCTTTACGTTCGATGGTGTCCTAGACAGCATGTAAGCGTGGTTTTTATGCGATTGTTGTCTTTCCTGTGACAGGAGTTTGCTTATTACCAGTGCCGAAGCATCCGCTGTTTTCAGACAACAAGTGGCGCGAGCACGAAGCGTTGCAATTTATGCGCGGCATAATGGACGAGTGCACGCACTTGACAAATTTCGAGAAGCCGGTTGACACGGAATTGATCATCGCCGTGTGCGCCAAGAATGACGCTTACGTACCGCGAGACAGTTGCATGAGTCTGGAAACCATCTGGCCGGGGGCTGAGATTCGTTACATCGACGCTGGACACGTTAGTGCGTACCTTCTTCATCAGAAAGTCTTCAGGTATTGGAAAATCTGTTACAGCCCCTTCCTCATCTCCAATCTAGGAAAATCTCATCAGTACGTGTGTTCTATTTCAGATCTACAATAGCGGAATGTATCCAGCGATCTTTGAAAAAGTATCCTGTGGAGATCAGTTGATAACTTTGCAAATTGCACTACAATGGATGTACATTATCTCGAGACTGTCGTAAATGTGACTAGGTAACGAAATATTTTTTTCCAAATTTATGATCGACTACATTTTTCTACGCTTAGAGATCTCGGTGTGCACAAACATGATCTATTTTTAAATCGTGGTAACTATCTGCTACAAAAGAGTACAACTGTTCCAGTCAATTTAATCGAGTATAATCATTGATGTTAATATTAGTGCATAGAATGAGTTAGCTGCCAATAAAACAAGTGTTCCTATATTAAAACAATAATGCAGTAGACACAAGGTCTTCACACTCATATTCACGTGTGTGAGGTATTCTATTTTAACTCAAGAAATCAAATAACTCAAACTATAGTTGATTAGGAAAACATGTTACAAATTACTTGGTTTCTAGGAAGACGCGAAGCGGTGATTTTAGTTTGAGCTCGACTCGTCCTCGAAATCGACTACTTTGCTCGTTCAAGCTAAACCATATAAAGTTCTTGTGATACGATTCCCCTTGATACTCTGATATTTTTTGTAGAAATATAAAAGCAATGCCATTCACATAAAAGTACATCTTACGAGATATTTGATGTCGCACTACGTTAGAATGAAGTACTAAATATTTCTTAAGCTATATTAATGCCTCACGAATTTTACACGTGGAATATTAGGGAAAGTTGTAAATTGTAAAAATTTATACGGTTTATTTTGAGGAAAGTGAAACTTGTATAACTTCGAGGATGCTAGACGAGATCAAACTAGGGTCACTATTTCATAGTGGATTTGCTCAAAGCCAAGTAACTCTTGTCCGTTCGCATGAAAATTGAACACGGCACATCTATATGTAAATAAATAGATATATATATATATGTATATATATATGTAAACTTACACGGTCGGTCTCGCACGCGTGTACTAGCTACGCTTACACTTGGCGCGAGACACTACCGTGTCTCGTGATACGTAAATTTCTAAAATTTACACCGATTTGCAACGAACCACAATTTTTTGTTGTTTTTTGTAAATCACTGATATTCAAATATACATTGTATAGCTGAGAAGTGTATATTGAAAGATACAATATACTCAGTATATTTTATATGTTATGTAATGTAATAATATATGCAATAATAAATTACATGTATATGTACGTAGCAATAATGTTCCTAAGATGTGCGAAATAGCATTAGAGTAAAACTAAATGCATTTCTCTGTTTTATTTATAGTCGGATCTTCTATTCAAGACCGTCTTGAATTTATCCAAAGATGATCTTGTGACAGTCTTGAATATAAGATCTGACTACGAATACTGGCCTTAGTTTCGTGTTGCAATAAGTGTCTGGTAAATGTCAAACATCGCTCGTCTGCGCAAGAAATTACTGCGCTGAATTCTAAATGAGATAGATTTCAGCTTCTTGCGGTTAATAAAATGATTAGTAACACGAGCTCGGTGGAAGCAGAGAAATTATCTTTCGACATTATTAATCTAATCTACAAATGTATACATATTTAATTACATAAATAATCTATAGAATTTTATTATCTATAGGTAATGTATATCGAAATCTAATCTGATCATCAGTACGAGAATTCTGTAAGGCCGGTTCTACATCGGTCGCATCGTAGTGTCGCAAGAGTCGTTCTAATTCAACGCTGATTGGTCGAATCTATGATTTGCGACGCTTGCGACGATATGATACGATCAATGTAGAACTGGCCTAATGTGGTGTCTACAATGCAAGTCGCAGAGTCGTAGTCGTAAGAATAATCGACTGCGATTGGTCAATTCCGTTAGACACATAAGAATTGATCAATCGTAGTCGACTATTCTTACGACTTCTATGTAGACAAGGCTTTACATGCTATCGAGTCTTCGGGGTCGTTAACTAGCGTAACAGCCAATGGTAAGGACGAAAAAAGCGCGGTTTTTACAGGTTGTCACTTAACGATGCCGAAAACTGTCTCGGCAGCAAGATTTTATTTAAAAAAAAAAGTGATATTTTTCTGCAGTTACAGTGCACAAAGGCATGTGTCCACGATGCTAGAGCTTGGTCCAAGTTCAAGCGTTGTGGACACAGGCCTTAAGATGACAAGCGTTTCGGTGTTAAGCCGCCATGCACGACGCACATGTCGACGCTTTAGGGCCATTGCACACAAAATTGCATAGCTGCGTGTGCATAGCATGAAAACCGTTTAAATCAATAAGCATTGGTTTAAACGGTTTTCGTGCAATGCACATGCAGCTATGCAATTTTGTGCGCGATGCCCTTACTTTTCAGAATTGGTAACTTGTAACTATAACCAGTTACATTTTTAGCGAAAAAAACTGTAACGAATCGTTACTTTGCAGTGACTTTGTTGCGATAAAAATTAAAATATCACATCTGCATTTGAATTGTAAAGCGTCGTTAAAGGCGTTTACGCGCAAATGCAAGGCCTAATGCGATCAGTTGAGGTTTAAGATATATACAAAGTGACTATTAATGTAACTATCAAATTAGTTACTTGTTATCGAAAAAATGTAACTGAGTTAAGTTACGGTCACAGACGGAGAGAAAGTAACGAAGTTAAGTTATAGTTGCCAAAAAATAAGAAAAAAAAACCGTAACTGTAACCGCAACTCCGTTACTTCCCAACCCTGCGCGTCCCTGCAAGGGCGCCTTTAGGGAAGCACGAAACGGAGCTCCTCGCGTCCAACGCTCGAGGGATATCTCGCGGCCGTGGCGGAACGGGGATTTCCGCTTTCCCGTCGAGAAGCGAAGGCCCGCGATTGGCGACCTCGGGCGCTTCTCCGTCCACGCGGCCGACGCGGCACGCACGTTCGAATATTCGAACGCGCGCGGCGGAAGCGGCTTGCGCCACCTGGCGTGCCGTCCGCGTGATCGATGGAACCGGAAGCCGGTCGTACCCGCTCGTGTTCAGAGGGGCCTCGCCAGAGCGTTCTGGCCACATGTGTCTCGCGCAGCGTTTTCCTGTGGCAAGAGCTCCGCCAGAAGATGCGCCGCGTTTACGTAATCCGCGGTAACGCGATGCCACGCCGGTGCTGGTAGGCACGCGGGTACGGTGTGGGTCAGCGGCTCTTCGCGATCGTGTCGGGGTAAGTGTCGTGCTGTCGCCGCGCGGGTTAACGTGGGGAGCGAGTAGAAAAAAAAACCCCCCGAGAGAAGCGCGAGAGCGGAGTCTCCCTCGCCGCGCGAGAACGTGGAACCGGGGAGACCGGGTGCGAGACCGAGCGTGCGCGCGCGGGGGGGGGTTTATATCCGTCGCCGCCGAGTGGCACGCGAGGTGTTGCTCGCCGTCCGCCGGGCGAGTCGGTGCCCGCGTATGGTGCGCGTCCGGCCGCGTGATCCGCGGCGCCGTTCAGGTCGCTCGTAAACGCGCGCGGGTACGTGAGCCGCCGCCGCGCAGGTTACGCGAGAAAGCGCCGAGTCAGCGCGCGTCGACCTAACCCCCGCGCAGGGCCGCGTGTGTTAAAACCGGGTGCGCGCCGGCGACGTCGAGGAACGTGCACGCGGCGGCCGCTACATCTGCTTTGTCCGAGCGACCGCGTGCGCGCACGCCACGCGCGCGTGCGTGCGTCCGTTCGTACGCGCCCGTCTCACGCGGGGGAGGAACGGAAGACCCCCGCCTCTAACGTAACATAACGTAACTTGGCGTAACGTGTCGTGCCGGTCGGCTCGCGGAAACGGACTTTCTTCGCCGGGGAGAGAATAACCTCGCGAGTGAGTGTGTGCGCGCGCGCGCGCGCGCGTGTGCAAGAGCGAGGGGGAGGAGGAGGAGGACAGAGACAGAGAGAGCTTCCTCCCGGCATGGTGAGGGGCATGTGAAGTGGCGGAGGACGCGCGCGCGCTAGAGGTTAGTTCGCCCATCCCCGCGACTCGTCCCCGTCGGCGGACTCCCCTTCCTCGCCTCCCCTCCCTCCCGGCCGAGGTCGAGAGGAGAGCACGGCCGCGCCGAGAGCGGCGTCCTCGACGGCAGCGACGACGGTGAATTGGCGGACCTCGTGCTCGGGTCCGCGAACCTCGTGTTTTTGTCCCGCGACAGCAGGCGTGCGCCGCAAGATGGCGGCCAAGCTGGCAGGCCAGAGTGGCGCTCGGAGCGTCGAGCGGCAGGAGGCGGGGCCCTGTCAGTCCTACGCCAGTGTGCTCAATCCGAAAGGTGCCTCTCAAAACCGAGCGAGCACGTTCGAGAGCAACAACAAGGAGAACATAGGCCAAGTGACAGTGTCGCAGCAGCAACAGCAGCAGCCGCAGCAGCAGCAGCAGCAGCAGCCGGCTGCGACGAACGCGAAGGAGAGAATAGTGCCGGGCGTGAAGGGCGGCAAGTCCTACCAGAGGCTGACGCGGTGCCCGCAAACTGTCCCGTCCGGCGAGGCGCGCGGTCGCCAGGAGAGCCCGTCGGGCATGCCGGTCGCGCGCGTTGACGTCGCGCGCGGACCGTCGGCAGCTGGCGGCTCGCGCGACGAGGACGCCGAGCGTCCGCTGAACAACGGCGCGGTCGGCAACGACGGCGAGTTCCAGACGGTCGCGAACAAGGGCGCGCGGCGCAAGGAGAAGATGCGCGAGCAGAATCGCGACAGCCACCGGGAGCGTCACCGGCTGCGCGAGAACAACAACCGCCATCAGCCACCACGTGGTGCCAGTGGCGTCGGGGGCGGAGGCGCCGGTAGACGCGGCAGCGACGAGAGGTCGCACAGAGAGCGCGCCGACCGCAATGGCGTCGCCGAGCATGGCCCGAAGGAGGCTCACTATTACAAGGACGAGTTGGGCGCCGAGGCGGAGACGCAGTCGGGGTTTTTGCAGCCGCCTCCACCGGTCAAGTACGTCGAGGCGCCGCTGCCCGCGGTCAACCCCTGGACGAGAAACCGTTCGTCGGTGCCGCCACAAGCCACCAAGGCAACCCAGCCCCTGCAACCACAGCAGCAACCGCAGCCGCAGTTGCAGCCGTCCAACGTCCCCGCGGCATCCTCGTGCGCTGACAAACAGACCGAAAGGGAGAGGAGAGTTCCACAGCCACAGCAGCAACAGCCGCCGCCGCCGCAGCAGCAGCAGCAGCAACAGCCGCAGCCACAGCCGGTGCCGCCGCAGCACCAGCAGCTCCAACAGGACGCAACCGGTGAGTTGGAGTTTTAAGTTTTGCGAAAGCACACTTGACGACATTCAAACGTATTCTTGGTGATAAGCTCGTCCGGCTCTAATCTCTAATCAATTTTACATCGTTAGATACGAAGTAATATTTGTGTCTTATTCTGTATAATATTAACACTGGTGTATTAGCCTCTTGTTCGTATGTACAATTGATTTTATTTTTCATTATTTATCGTTTCTCGCAAGGAAGTCTGTTTGTTAAAATATGCGGAAGGAAGGGGATCCGGTGCAAAGGGAGTTTGTCTGTGAATTTCTCTTTTATTCGAATTTGCAGGTAAGAATTTTCTTTGACCCCGAGAGGCTCGAGCGGAAGTCCTCGAATTGTTAAACGGCCACCTGCAGCGAAAGGGATCGTTAGGGGCGTTTTGCACCGTTTAGAGGATGCACTGTGTGCTGACCTCGGCGTTTGCGGCAGACGCAAACTGCGCCGTCGATAAGTGAGAAGCTCCCGGCCACGCGGCCTTGCGCTCGGCTCCGCTTGCAAAATATCGTCTTTATCGCCTTTCTTCAAACTCCCCGATACAGCCGTCGCCGCGATAACGATTACATAATTGTTACTTGCGCGCGCGCGCGCGATCTCGTTTCATTAAATGCGCCGTTTTGCGCTCCCGCCGAGGCAGTCCCGCTGAAATTCGAGAGGTCGTGTCGAAATACGTCCGATTTCACGGAGCATTACTTATAAATAGATTATATTATGCGCGACGCCATAGAATGACTCCCTTCACCTCCTCGGTTTTTTTTCTCTCGTTACTTTTCTACATATATTTTTTTTTGTTTAATTTTGTCGGACGCCACGCTCCGCCTGACGCGCTTTCGCCAACGGGTATCTCGGCGATCGATCTTATTGTTAAGCTCGATAAGGAAGGGAAAGGTCATCTGTCTGGTGCCATTCGTCGGATCAACTCGTCAGTAGCCGTCAATTTTTAATCGCTTAACGAGATAACGTTTGGCATCGCCAGTGTCGCGTTGAAATATTATTCCCAGGCGGAGGTGAAGATTATGTTGGGCGCGTCCCTCGACACGAGCGCCCGGAGAAGCGCTCGAGAACGCGCTCAGGAGCGCGGAACGCTTCCGTGACAAACGTACGGGAGATCTGTTTTGGATGAGATATATATTACGAAACGAGAGAGGCATGGAAATAGAAACGCGCGAGCGCCTGAAAAATCGAGGAGAGACGGCGCGCGTGAGCAAAAGCGTCGGCCGAGGAAAGGATCAACGTTACAATGTAGAGGAAAGTCCCCTCTCTCCCCCCCCCCCTCCCCCCGATTATGGAACGGGCTCCTAATACGAGACAGCGGGGTTTCTGCTAAATTATAATAGTCATCGTCTGTTGCTTCCACCGTGAATTCACTGCTTTTGGAGCGAGGTCTGTTTCGGTGCGAAAATTGGTCGGTAGACCGAAAGAGAGATTTGTGATCGAATTTGGACGTTGAAAACCTACTGTCTCGTATTAGGATCCTATCTCATAATAGGGGACTTTCCTGTATAATCGCCGGCTGCGCTTCCGCGTGTTACCGAATACCCTTTTTACTCCCGACTCGACCGATATCATTGCGCCCTGGAAAGAATTCCGGACTCGCGCGCGCGTTTAGGAATCCGGTCGCGGAAGAAAAACGTCTACCCGCGCTTAATGTTAATTTAATCGCGGAATTCCCGCGCCGGTAACGCGCGGATCTCGTTGCCGTAATCCGCGCGCATATTTAACGCAGTTTTACGAAACGCGCGCGGGCCACCGGGCCCGTCGAGAGGAGAAATCCGAGCGTACGTCATTACATGTCGGGCTGTTCGATAATCGCGATAATAAGAGCGGCAAGCTCGGAGCGCGCGCGACCGACAAGGCCTTATCTTCCACGTCTCTCGGACATACGTGGCAGCGCGAGATATCCGCGCGGCAACGGGGGAGATCGACGTGTCGCTTTCGGCAATTTATTTGCATACCGAAGGATCCGTTCTTTTCGCCGAGCGAGCCTCTCTTCGCCGAGGAGATCCGCCCGCGTCTCGCAAAGAGCCATCGATTTCTGCCGCAGGATGTATGCAGAGAGGTCCTTCGTTTAGGGGCTCCTAATATGAGATAGCGGGGCATTTTTTCAACGTCCGATTTTACAAATCTCCTCTCGCGACGATTTATTACGCGCGCGGCCTAACAATGAATTTTCCGCTAAACGCATTTCACCCCGAGGGCGATGTATTCACGGTGGAACCAACGGACGAGATGCCTATTGATTTAGCAGAAACCCTGCTATCTCGTATTGGGAGCCTGTCTCGAAATAGGGGAATCCCTCGATTTCCTAATTGTTGCATCGAAAATTAAGTAAGAAAACCGGTATTTCTCTGCGAAAAGATGGGATATTTTTTTAAATAGCTTTTTTTGCTGAAAAAAAATTTGCAGGACGCTCAGTCCACGGTTCTCTCCTCGCAGAATTTGATAATTTTCTTGACGTACGTTTGGCTGCGAAAAGTCAGGTGCACGTAACAAAGGAGATAACGGCGAGCTCCTTTTACTTGGCATTTTACATTTTCACACCTTCGCAAAGGCGTTTCGTTTCAGCGAGGCTGCCCTCTCAGCATCGCTACCGAAAATATAATACGGTAGCATTTTCGAATCGACACGCGCGGCACGCCTGTCTGCCGCGCGCACACACTTCCGGCGCGTGGCGTGAAACTCGCCGAATCCGCGGTACCGCAATTAATTTATTTGTTCCGATCATGCGGGACGAGGGCGCGAGAGAGGGCAACGACATTGACACTCGTTTTGCGCCGCCGGTACACGTCGCGGAAACGCGTCTGCAGGGTAATCTCTCTCTCTCTCTCTCGCATGCTTATGTACCTTTCTATTAGCTGCGCTTTTAAGTATCTTTTATCGTCTTGCTAGGTTTGAAAATATTTAATTTTTCATAACGTTTCTTACCGAGGGGGAAACCGCTGTGAACATTGTGGTGTACAGATTTTTTGGGCATTAGTTTGGCCATTAGGTCTTGCCGAGGGGGAAACCGCTGACCAAAATCTTGTACACCAATGCCCACTAATGCTCAGTGGGCATTACTTTATCTTATTATCTTCTTTTATTTCATTTATCTTGTCTTATCTTATTTTATCTTTATAATGCCCCAGCAAGACGTGATGCCCAAAAAATGCCCTAGTAATGCCCAGTAATGCCGCAAATCTGTACACCACAATGCCCTCAGCGGTTTCCCCCTCGGGTCTTGCTGAGGCATTATAAAGATAAAATAAAATGAAATGAAATAAGATAAAATAAGATAATAAGAAGAAAATTCGTGTGGCTCGAATGTGATAAACACAAATTTGAAGGAATAAAGGACTAAGAGCCGTGACAGGGTGTTAGTGTCCAAATATTTCATTCTAAATTTATTGCGATTAATTTTTACGTTTATGTGAAATGCTCTCGGTATTTGATTTCTATTAGCAATTTTGAACAAATCATTGGAAAGATTATGTAGATCGGGGGAAACTGAAAGGAACATAAGATCTTTTAATAAATTACAAAAACGCATGCAATAATTATATATGAATATATCGTCCGTAGAGATAAATACACTGTACGAGATATACATGAAACATTTATTGCCGCGATACCTTGGAATAAAATGTAAGGTAAATTCTATGTAATTACGTTAAGAAATGCAGTCTGAAAACTCTGAATTTTATTTTCAGTCCGGGCGTCCTCGTTCGACGTTATTCGATTAAATTTTCCGTTGATCTTAATTGATTTGATAAAGTAGACAAGTCCCAAAAATTTCGATTAACTGAACAGACATTTCTGTTCCCAGTTGCGTATAATTATTCGTATTTTTCAACTGTGAGTTTATAATTTATAAACATAAAGAGTTGAGAGTGAAGGATTCTTCAAAAATGAAAGCTATGAATTATTTCATTCTTTATCTCGAGACATTACATCTTATCTGATGGTCGTTCACTCTTGCCCGAAGGTTCGCATCGGCACATTGCGTTTGTAGAAACTTTCGGCTGTACTCTACAATCAGATATCTTATTTCCCCCGTGTGTGTAGAGGAGAGAGAGGGAACGCTATATAGATAATTTCTGCCAGCGACACGCTCGATCGACGCGTTCCGCGAAAAAAAATCTGCGATTTAGGCGCATTTTTTAAATCTACGCTCGTTGATTTTCGCGCCCAGCGTTAGACCCGTTTATCGAGGCAGCATCCGAATCTCAGGTGGGCCTAAAACGCGAAAGCCGACGCGCGGGCGCGTTAATGAAAAGAGCCGCTCATTGTCGGCCGATCGGACGCGTTCAGCCTTTAAACGCCGCACAACGAGAACGCCGGGCCTTGGTCTTGCCGCGGTGGACCAATCGCCTCTCCCCCTTCGATCTACATTAAAATATATGTCGCAGAAAGTGAGAGTCGCGAGAACGGAAACCTGTTTCGGGACGGTCGGACCGCCCCGCTCCCGATAAGAGTTAGACCGACAAATGTCTTTCGGTCGCACGCCTCGTGCGTGCACGAGGTGTTTCCGAGCCGCATAGAACAGCGCCTCCCGATTTAACTCTGGTCCCGCGGTCGGGGCGGCCTCCGCGCATCCGTCGAGAGAAATTCCGCGTGCCGCGTCCAGAATCGAGAAAGCTGGACCTGAGATCGGATAACGAAGAGGAAATTTATTTTTCCTTTCTTATCGGACCTCCGTATTGCCTTGGCGTATCCGGGGGCAGAAGGTGCTCCGTTGCGGTCCACGCTGAAGCCACCGGTCGAGGGTACTCGCGTTCCCGGCCGTCGTGAGCGGCTCCGCCGCTGCGACTCGCTTCTTGAGACCCAGTCGACTCTCAGTGGCTCGTCGGCTCTCGAAATCGCGACTTCAGCATCAATCACGTTGCGCTCCGCGAGATACAATTTATATCGAGTCCGGACCGAAGCGTGTCCCAATTCGCATGGACCGCGGCGGGCGGCTTCGTCGAGGGACGAAGGACGAGCAACCTAATTTGTTGTTAATTAAAACCCTTTCGATTTTTTAGTGATAGAGACGGGACTCGCTCAACGGGGTATCAGCCGCGACATGTTGTTCGTAGCATTGAAATGCACGGGGTTTTTCGTCAGCGCGATACCACCTGGTTATTCTCATTGCCGATGTAATTAAGACTGCTTAATTAGACCGACTTGGGCGCGAAAAACGGTGCGGAACGAGTCGGGTTGTTAAACCGAGGAGACGAGAGGTCTTGCGATGAAGATAGACGAGAGTGAAGACGGTGCTCTTAGTGAGTCGACAGTCTCGCTGTTTTCCTCGTGTGCATGTTACAATTTACAATATCTTGGCGAAGCTACAATATGCATACACCTCGCTACTTTGCCGGACGACAAATTACGTTTGTTTCAATTTATTGGTAGGGCAGAATTGCCCCACCTTCCAACAATTTATCAGTTTCGACTAAATAGATACGTTTATATCTTGTCCCTTATGTAACCAATTGTATGTATTTTGTGTACGAGAAAGTATTTGAGTGTGCGTATATGTGTATGTGCACAGTTGAAAAATTTGTGTTAAATTTAACAGATATCACGTGTCCCGAACGGTTCACACAAATTTTTGTGTTAACTTAACATAATATGAATATGTTTAATGATCACACTAATACTCTGTTAATATTTTGACACAAAATAAATTGAGATAAATTTTGTGTAAAATTAACATATTTTTAGTGACAAAATGAATTTTTAAAAAATGTAATTTTTACATTTTACAGATGTAATAAGTGAAACGACGGTTCGAAAACACTCTCACTTATGTTGTATAGAAGAAAATCAACATTTTATTCTGTAAATTTTAACAGATAAATCTTGTTACTAATAATATAGAACACATGTATTGTGTAAGATTAAAATTAACACATGAATGTGTTGAACATTTAACACAAAAATTTAAACCGGCATTAGAATTTAGAATTGGTGCAGGTGCATAAATATCTGTTTGATTCGATAGTTTTGCCCTACAACTTTGCCACGGCTTCCCCTTTAAGTAGCGACAGACTACTTGACATTTACGACAAAACGAGCTAATCGAACTGTTAATCGTTCGATTTATTTTAATTTTTCGCACTTTGTTGCGTATACTGCAAGCTTGTCAGTCGTGCATTCTCGTAGGCCGCTAACGGCATTCTTATCAGCCACGGCTTTGTTATCGACTCGTTTATCTACGTCTCGACTAAATCGTTAAATTTTGTGCCCGCGCTTTACGACTGTATTTCGGCTTTTATCGCCAGGCAAGAATTACGAATGCGAGTATCGCGTATTGTTCTACAACTTCCGGTAGCGTTCAGCAACATCCCGGTGACGTTCAGATCACGCCGAGTCGTGATAGGATTATTATGCGGCGTTATTGCACCTTGTACGACACACGGCTCATCCTGGCTCAACGTTAGAAACGTAATTTCGAGCGAAGGCATTTAAAATCTGCCGATGAATCACGCGTTCGCGTCACACAGACTATAAATGTTTTACAATCTATGTTTACTTTCCAAGCTACCTTAGTTTATTTTTAAATTGTGCCTTTCATTAAAGACAGTCTTTTTCCGAGGCTTGTTGCTCTAATTAATCGATGAGCTCTGGAATAGTTTCATTCCGTCGAGCGAAAGGGTTTCAACTTACGCGTGTCCTAGGAGAGACTACAGCTCCCGAATCTCGCATTCGTTGTTTATTATTTCGTACGCCCACATCGTACGGGGCAATTTGCCATAATTATCCGGCTTCGGCGTTCCTTGGCATGGAGACAAAATTAAGTGTAAATATTGAGCGCAAAAATAAAACCGACTGTAAGCGAAGAGTCAGCGTGAAATAACCGGGGGTAAAAATTGCGCGTAAAAATAGAGCCGATTCGACTCGGGGGAGCAAAGATCGCGGAAGCTGTTGACGTTTCGCTTAGATCTTTGGATCTGTACGCAGAACTCGTTTTCATTTCTCTGATAAAGGGAACTCGGAGTTCCGTTAGCGATACATATAATTATGCAGTCTAATTGTGTGGCAGAACTCGATAAATGGAATGAAGAGCAGAAAAAGAATCCTTTTTAGTCCTGCGGTTCTGAGGTGGAAAACATCACGGTGAACAATGTGCGATAAGAAAGTGCAGGAAAAAAAAAGAATAAAAGGAGGCCTAATTATAATGTTCCACGGATACCGCATTCAATTGCGTTAAAAGCGCGTTGTGTAACATTAACACACAATACAAGCTCTCCTCGTTATTCCCAGTGATACGCTTTACAATGTTATAAAGTATTGCTCTGACTTTTCAATTGCGGTGTAATTTAATTCTTACTCTAATGAACGTGCCTCGATTACGAGTGCCGTTCTGGCTCCCGGGACTTGGGGATCTCGCTGATCAACTCATTATAGGCCGCAATGCACCATGGGCTGTGGACTGCCTGAAACTAAAAAATTCAGGACGTTGGATCAAAGTATGGAATTTTTTTTTTCACAATTTTACATACTTTGACCCAATATCCGGAATTTTCTTATTTCCGGCGGTCCACAGCCCGACGGATTGCCGGCGGCATAGAATGGGTTAATATTTCGTCGATAATGTAATCGTAAGAGCTACGAGGAATTTTGTCGAAGAGGAGGAGGAGATAGTTAATGTCGTTTTCAACAGGTCAAAGTGAAACAGTGCGGATGAATCTTCGTAGCGAATTTTTTCGTTCGGTAGCTTTTGCATTTACTACGCCTCCCACCTCCGACCCGACGTCGGGTGTCGCAGATAAAAATATTCGTGAAACACACACACGCGCGTGTGTGTGTGTGTGCGGCAAAGATAATCGAGGTCACGCGGTTTGGAACACAGGTTACGAAGGAGCCGATAAAGATATAATTATTCGGGGACTGCTTTAGAGAGAGAGAGAGAGAGGAGGAAAAAAAAGATACTTGACACGCTATCCTGAGTTGTCGGACGCAAGTTACAAGTTACTCCTACAACGAATTCTGCTTCTGCTGTGCGAAATTCTCGGCTGCAACCGTAGCGTCCGATTCGCCAAAATTACTTCCGTGTACCCCTTTCACTATTTTTCATATTAGAATACAAGATTCTTTGTTCAGTTCTCAAAAATATAAATTTATGATATTCATATTTGTGTAGAAACGCCATTATATACAGCGCTTGTATGACTGCTGCTTCATTTTATATTTACGTAAAAACGCTTCTTTTTATTTGCAGAAAATGGTGTTGAGAGCAGTGGCCAGCCTACAATTGTCAGAGCACCCAGAGATAGGAGGAAATTCAATCAAAATGTACGTGATGTATTTTTTTATTTTATTTTTTCTCCTTTTATTCATTTAGTGCGCGCGTGTAAGACGTCAATCTGCGAAGATAACAATTTTATAGCGCGCACGATTGTACCGTAAGCTTGAAAGATAATTTTTTATTTCTACGATACTTCGAGAGATATAGGTGTCATTTATAGTGTATCATAAATAACCAATAGCAATTATTTTTTTAAGAAATGCACTAGAGCGATAAGACATCTATATCAGCAGTTTAATAGACACCACAAAAAGTCGAATCTTTATTTAAATTTTTTACCACGTGTCAACGATGTACTTTACACCGTAATTTTTTCATTTAACAAAATATCAATGGCATAGTTTTTAATTACTTGCCAATGCTTTAAGAGACGACTTCGGAGAAAAGAGAAACACATGTTAATAAATGTAATTCAAAATGTTTGATTTGCCGAATTATGATAAGTTAAGCAGAGACAGAAGTGCTCAAAGCACTCATTTTTCTTTTCTAATGCCGACATTTTCTTTAACGTATACATAATTTATATTATTAATACATTTATAGTATTAATACATAAAAACGTATACAACATCTTGTATGTTGCGACAGGCAAGCGATTTTACAAATATTGGAGACTGGCCTACTTTAGGAACGCAAGAGGTGCGTATCATTGAATTTTATTAAGCTGCTTAATTTTCAACTATTTAAGTTATTATTTTAATACGTGTACGCGTTTGAGAGAATATACCGAGGGATAAACTACTGACCAAAATCATGTACACCAATGCCCACTAATGTCCAGTTGGCATTACTTTACCTTATTTTATCTTTATGATGCCCCCAGCAAGGCCTAATGCCCAAAAAATGGCTGGTAATGCCGCAAATCTGTACACCACAATGCCCTCAGCGGTTTACCCCTCGGAATATACCTATTATTAGTAATAATTCAATTAGAATTACACGCTTGGATTCCATTTGTTCTAGCTGCCATAAACAATACCTCTTATTACGTAGCGAACTATGCAAAAGCTAGAACTTGCAGACGACTGTCACATACGTCTGCAAGAGTAGAAATTTTGCTAAAGAGATAACGAATATTATGTTTTCTCGGATGAAAGTTTCTATATCTGAGAAATGCGTGTTATTTGTACATGTGCATTCACCTAAGCGGTCTTTTATTTCTCTTTCATCATACCGCTTTTCATTTTTCGCGTTTATACGATTTAGAGGTTTAGACAATATTTTCTCTTGTAGAGGAAAACAACCGTGTCCCCTCCAAAACAAAACGGCGTGGTCAATGGCGAACCAAGTACTTCCAAAGCGTCCAACACCGTTGAGAGCAAAGGCAAGGAGAACAGGGAGCAGATTCATTACCAAGACGACAGTGACGAGCACATAGATAACGGCGAAAAGAAAAGGAAAGGTGAGGAAGCCGGTCTGTGGACTTGGAATTCATTGTGATAAGATAATTGTGTGTAGCTAACGTAATAACTTAACTTTTTAATTACGTGCGTCTACTTGAAATGTTAATGAGAAGCGTTAGTTTTCAATCTCTAATGATAATCTCCCAATTACCATTTTCGCAGCAAACAAACAAAAATGGGTCCCGCTTGAGATAGACTTGGCGCAGAATCGTGGGACTATGCGATCACCGAGATTTCAAAATCACAGAGAGAGAAATGGCGAAGGTAATATTTGTACGCATAACGATGCACGTGCGTGTGTTGAAATTGTAATATACGCGTATTGCGATAGTCGAAACAAACGAATATAAATTATAATTATAATTATTACGATAAACAGCGAACGACGGTGAGCACTGGCGTGAAAGGGATTACGATAGATCGACGGGATATAATTCGCGAGGACGCGGTGGAAGAAATTATAGAGGTAGAGGTGGACGGGGCGGGCGCGGCCGCGGTGGTTTTAGACACCGATACGACCACGAGTACACGAATTATGCAACGGACGTACAGGTAATTTCCTATTGATATACGTAGCTGAAATTATTATCGCGAGTAGCGATACCATCGATAAAATGATGATAGCAAGGGAGACCACTCTGACCGCATTATGATGGCTAAACGATAGTAGAACTGAAAACCTTTATTTCACTTGTACCTTCCACTTGTTTACGACGGGTATCGTGGCGTAACGCTTTCTTTCCCTTCGTTCTTTTGCAGACCCACAAATATGAACAGACGGATTCTGGATATATGATACCTTATATGGGAACATGCTATTTTAATAATGCAAATTACATAGATACCACCACGCTAAAAGAATATATACGAAAGCAAATGTAAGTTTAACCTTTAAACTTTTTTAAATGCCAATAATTTATATGCAATTTGTGTATCGTTATTTAAATATCAACCTCATTTTTTTTTTGACAGAGAGTATTACTTTTCTGAAGAAAATCTTGTGAAGGACTTCTTCTTACGCCGTAAAATGAACGCTCAAGGATTTTTGCCTCTCACTTTGATTGCATCTTTTCAACGTGTACAAAATTTAACTATGGATATAGATTTGGTGATAGACGCAGTTGTTGACTCTGATAGACTGGAGCTATTAAAATTAGAAGATGGATATAAGGTATTATAAACGTGACATAAACGTATTTTGAATTACTTAAAATAGCGCACGTTGTCTGGCAACATTGATATTGTACGTACAGCACATATTATTTAAAAATCTAGCATATTACGTATGTGTTAGATAAAAGTTGTGCTAGAGCAAATAGAAGAGGATTCGCTGACACCATTAGAACTTATTTTAAGTTCGATGAATGGGGTTTGATAGTAGACCTCTTTACATGTATATAGTTATAATATTATAATTGTTCAAATTTGTTGCATACGTCTTTTATACACATACTTAACTGCAAATGTTTCTAATACTATAAATGTTTATTTTTCAGATTAGGACAAGTTTCGAACCGTTAAAATGGCCTATTTCGGACATAACCAGTAATGTCGCCTTTTCAAGTGTCTCGCAACAGTCTATCCCACTTCAAAACGAAGTAATTCCTACCTCTGAAACTACATTTTGTCCTCTCGCGAAGCCTTTATCCACAATGCCTGTCCCCCCAGTACCTCGTGTGTTTGAATCTTACCATTCCATTTCAACAGTAAGAAGACATAGCGAGTCAGAAATAAATTCTTCGCCGATAAACGAGATTCTAAATCCCAATGTGCCAGAGTTTGTACCGACAACAGAGAAAACTAATGGATTTACTGGTACAAATAAAAGCAATCAAACGAAGAATAAGTTCCACTTTGAAAAGGTAAAAGAAACATTGGCAATTGCGGAAAGGTTTCTTCTCTCTCCTAATAATAACCCTCTTATGAAGATAAAAGAAGACAATAAATTATCGGCCGCTATAGATTCTATCTCAGACAGTTTATCAGAACGGCTGAACGGAGAATCGGATTCGTCAAGCGACAATACATGGAAAGAGGTAACTGCCATTTTATTTTTCATCTTGTCAAACTATACGAATTTGCGAAGAGTGCCGTGGAATTTATGGAAACAAATTATTTACAGGTGAGAAGAAGAGTCAAACAACCACACAAGGACAGATCAGAAGAGAAAGAGAGATTTGAAACCGTCAAAAATGCAGTGCGAGAAGAACTGAATTTTCAATTTGACGAAGAACTTGATTCGCCGCCGCCGACTGGTCGACATAATGCTTTTTCAGAATTGTCAGTTGATATTAAATCACTATTAAGACGTTTTAGTGTATTCAAATAACATGATTCAATTTAGATTTTCATAAAAAATTCTTGCTTGTTGCAATGTACTTAAAGTTTTTTAATTGGTAAAATTTGATTACTTAGAAAGTTATTTAATCTTTCAACATTTTACAGTAGACTGATATCTTATATTTCGATTACATTGTGATTGTTGCAGATCCGAGGACGAAGATGATAACGTATTATCAGATAGGGATGTTAACAAAATATTAATATTTACACAAACCAATCTTACGTCATCTCGAATCCCAAAGCACGAAGGTCATGATAGAACAGGAGATTGGACTACAAGAGTAAAAATGACTCAAGAATTAGTGCAACTTATTAATGACGGATTGTATTATTACGAGGAAGAATTGTGGAAGCAAAATGTTCAAAGAGTAAGATATTTCTCTTTGTTCTCTTAAATTTGTAAACCATAAACTTAGGATATTACTAAGTTAATGTTGATATGCAGCATGGCTCCTCTTCATCCCTTGCGAGCTACAAAAGAATTAACATGATCAGTCAGGAAGATTTCGAGAAAATGGCACCGAAAGCTCCAAGAAAAGCGAATCCGGAAGTTCCTCCGCCGCCTCCTTCTGCTATAGAAGATTTCGAAATTTCGTCATCACAGGTATTTGAAACTTTTGTGAAATAAAACAAAATTGCTCGTGGAACAATGTTAGACATGAGGCTATGCATTTGTTCCAACAGGGTCCCAAGGATCATAGATCGGAGAAAAGTCGATGGAGTGATAGATTGAGTGGGCTAAGGAATACTGCGCCTCGTTTCTTTGCCGTTGTGAAAGACGGACCTGTTGATGAGAGAACGCCACGGAAAAGGAAGACCCGTCACAGCAATAATCCTCCGGTGGAGCATCATGTTGGTTGGATTATGGACGTTCGAGAGCATCATCCCCGGACTTATTCCACAGGGTATGTGATATTAGTTCGCTATAAATTTGCTGCTCATACCAAAATAGACTTTTGATTTCTCGAAATAAAGAAAGATTTTGCTGTTAGCATGTAAAAGTGTTGAAGAGCATGAAGATTAAAGTTATACGTGAGGAAATAATTACTTCTATGGAATTACACTTGCAAATTAAAAGTGTATGGCGTTGTAATCTTATAATTATATTTTCGTTTTTCCATTTGTTTCCATTAATTTCACGTAGATATCACCAATGATATTTCTATTTAATAAGAAATATAACATGATGAATCCATTTATACATGTCTTCTTTTCCCATCTGAAGAAATTGCCTTGTTGAAATTTTTGATCTGAGCAACGATCAATGGAAAAATGAAAATTTATGTTCGCTTCGCGTGTATGCTCTAAATTCGTTCTCTGTTTTACTTTCAGGAGTAGCGCAGGCACAAGTCCCAACGAAGGTTACCTTGCTAGCAGTTACGGAAGTGTTCCTAGTATCTGCGAGCATCCAAGTCACGCTTTGTTGAAGGATAATGGATTTACTCAACAAGCATATCACAAATATCATTCGCGCTGTCTGAAAGGTATTAAGCAGTAACGATTGATTCTCTTAAGCTATTGATTGATTACGAGATGATGAATTTTTCTGTCTTCTTTTCCCGACTGAGAGTCCGTGCGGAAATACTTTTAACTGAATGTTGATGTAAACAACTATTTCGATTTTGTTGAATCAAGATTTTTTTTACTTACATATCCGCATTCGTGTCTTTTCAGAGCGCAAACGATTGGGTATCGGACAGTCGCAAGAGATGAACACTCTTTTCCGTTTCTGGTCATTTTTCTTGCGCGAAAACTTCAATCGTACCATGTACGAGGAATTCAGAACTGTAGCCAAAGAAGACGCCTGCGAAGGATACCGATACGGATTAGAGTGCCTTTTCAGATTTTATAGTTACGGTTTGGAGAAGAAATTTAGACATGCGTTGTATACAGATTTTGAAATGGAAACAATGCAAGATTACGAAAGTGGTGAGTTAAGATTTTATTAGATGCACTTGTATCTGTCACGAAGCAGAGACACCAGCACGAGATAGGTTGTTTAGCTATGCTACCACATGATAGTTAAACGGTAAATTTGTGCAATAGCAAATCGAGTGTTTTACTAACGCCAGAAGGGATTCTTGTCTCAAGACTGAATTCCGTTAGTAATGACACGACAAACTTAGACAATAATTGTATCATTGAAGCTTACGTACATAAATTATATTAACCTAATGTAAATTGTAATATACTAATATTAAATCAAATTGCTTGAACCAACAGGACAGTTGTATGGATTGGAGAAATTTTGGGCGTTTTTGAAATATTACAAGAACTCTGATCAGCTCCATGTAGATCCTAAATTGCAAGAGTACCTATTAAAATTCAAGAGTATCGAAGACTTCAGGGTAGTAGAAGTGAGTATTATTGCCACAACGGATTTCTATTTGCTACTCATAACTGTCTCTTTAATAGCATTTATAATAGAACTCATTTCTATATTGCACAATATTTGTGTTACTTTTGTTACAGCCTCAAATACATGAAATGCTCCAAGCTGCGAGAATACGTAATAGAAGTGTTTCTGAAAGTGCTAGAGAGGATACATTGACAAGCAGCGAATGTCTACTCTCGGACGATTACAATACACTGCCAAACGCGCAAGAGTCGCATTTACCGCAGTTTCGGGTTAGGACCGGTTCTTACGGTTCTAAACTGTACCACTTTCGACGACGGAACGACTCCGCGTCGTCCAGCAGCCAGCGAGATCTCAGCAAGCAGCAGCCTCGAAATCAGAGGCAGAGTTCCGGTTTCGCGAAGCCTTCTGAGGCGAGCAAATCGCAAGTCACTGCCAGAGAACGAACTCAAGCCAGCTCAAAGTCCGAAACGAGCAAATCCGTCATGATTAAGGCAGAGGGCTCGTCTGCCTCCCAAAAGTGAAATCGTGCGGCGACCAGAGAGATTTTAGATAATCCTGTAAAAGTGACCGAAACCATTGAATCGCCCTCAAGACGAAATGGCGATAGTATTTTTGGTAATACATATTATTGGGAAGTAGTTTTATAATCGTAAAATCGCAAGAATGAAGATCACACCAGGTCCTGTTTACGTGATCTTAAAGATTGTGGAGCACGAAAGTCCCCAAAAGAGGTAAATTCTTGATGGTAGACTTACATCCGTGATTTAGTGTTTAAGATTGTATCTACCGGATATTTAAACCCCTCGGTGTGGTGGCGCGCTGCGAAAGATATTTTTACTCGCTTCTTATATTGTTTGCGGTGTTGAAATACGTTACTAGAGCTGAAAACTCAATCAATGAAAATGCGTGCGCGTACGTGTAGTACGTAACAACGGGAATGTATATATCCTAGTTCTTTCAGTCACGCTTTTATTTCATAATTCATGTTTCTTAATGCATATACAGTGGCATCGACTTGATGGGACGAACAGTATCTAGTATATGTGTGCAGAAACATGCTGTAAGATATTGTTCGCTCAAGCGAGTTATTTCATATACAAAAAGGTGGGGTGCTTCATCCGAAAGACAGAATAAAGATTAGGTAATGTATGTAGCGGATAAAACGCCTAAATATTACAGTCACCGGCAATGAATCGTTTCGCGAGAGGGGAAGCGTTGTTTCTCCACTCGGCGGATAAGCTCGCCGATCGAACAGCCGGTCGCCAACAGCTAACGCTGAATTATACGCCAGAATAGGAGAAGAACGGTTCCCCTTTTACGAAACGATTCGTTATCGGTGAGTGTGCATTACATTTGACTACTTTATTATATAAATTCATTATATATTATATAAAAAAAAGACTAATCGTGTAATTCGTAAATACTTAGTTGTGTAGATATATACCTATGTGGCTGCTATTGAATTTGCCGTCTTATCTGATTACCGGGAAATCACTGGAGCTCCAATTTTTCCACGAATATTTGACTTTTTTTACTGGAAGAGGTACTCTTTTTTGCTTTTCTTTTATTTTTATCCAATTCTTTTATAGGAGACGCGATTACACGCATTCTTTATATCATTGAAATATATCAATAATGTTTACTTACTCTCGAGACGGTAGCAGTTAAGTGTTACATTCTGAGCTTCTATTTTAAGATTCAACGTAATCGTGGCGTACTTCCATGTAATAACATATAATATCTATATATTATAAGTATATACATATATTAATACTTTGCCATATTTATTTTTCATAAAATGTAGATCATAAAAGCATCCGTGTGAAGATAACACAGGTCGGAAAAGTTAACGTTGTTACGTTGATCTTTGTAAATTTTTTTTTAGACTCCTCAATTCAAAGCCATCCCTTGGAATCGAGCTTTTAGAAATCACTCAATGAATTCTTATACAATATTCGCACACTAAACTTGAGGTTTGCATTATATTTGTATGTACGCTGTCTATGCAATAACTATATGTAAAGCGCTATATACAGTTCGATGAAATGAAAGCGTTACGAGGATTGATTTGTTGTATTTATTTCTCGCATCATGAGAGAAGTGATATGAGCTCGTCGAGTAACTTGTAAATAGAGAAATCGATACGCACTGGCTGTTTTTATTATCAGTCGATTCAGCAAACGAATTTTATAAATTGTATCGACGGTTTTTCTGTATTCCTTAAGCAAGCTCGAACACGCTAGACGCTACTTGTAAAACGCATATTCAAAGGATGATAAGACATGGCTTTCATGCGAATGCAAGAAACTGTTACCGTTCGTATCCTAATGTCGTTCTGAGCATATACTAGTCAAGCATCGAGCCGACGTACTGTATCACACATCGTTCGCAGAACTTGTGCAGAAAAGAAAAGAAACCTAGGCGATAACCGTTGTATGAGCAATAACACGAAAGTGAGCGATAGTGGCGTTGATCAGGGAGATGTACGGGAAGGGAGATGCGCGAAACGGCAGTAATCTTCGTCGTTGCAGATAGCTTTCATGTTTTTCGTTGACGAATACGTTGGTGCGTGGAATAACATCTGTACGTTTGAGCAACGCGCGTAACACGTGAGCAACGTGTTTACGCGCTACGTCACACTTACGACCGCGATACTGAATATATGTTTTTACTCGCTCGAGCCGCATGCGAAGAAAATTGCCTTTCAAAACATCTCGGTTGCACAATACGCGACATTAGTATTCTGTTCTCGAGACCGGGTAGAAAAGGAGGGAATTAATTCTGCGTAACATTGCAACAGACGAACGGGATAAAGCTCGAACGAATTGAATTCGGACAGTGCGTTCCTCCGTGCAATCCTTTTGAATCTTTCCCGTCTTTCTTCGTCTTCCCACGCCGACAGAATCTTTCAGCCAGGGCGTAATTAAAACAAAAACTCATCGATCGAAATTACAAATTAACGTATCGCTACACTTTATGGCCGACACTTAAACGTTGACGATAATAAGAGTTAAACGCTACAATAGTTAATTTTGTTTTTTGATTTTGCGATTCGTAAATTATGATTTAGGAAAATTCAGCGCGACTGATCGGTAGAGAATAAAGTGCGTCTCGCTCTTGAGAGAATAACGTTTATTCTTAACAGAAAGAAGAAATAAGAGACACGCTCATCGTCACTACTATTTTCGTGAAGACACAGGTGATAGTGAAAGCCGATAATGATTTTTAAATGAGACGACAATCGAAGGTCTCCGCGTCTGTTCGAGAATTGAAAGTTCATCTGCGTAGACGAGGGTGGCATGTGATCGACGTCATATCACCTTTCTCGGTTTCTTTTTATCGGTCTATTTCGGACGTACAACGAAACTACGCGTGTTAATGTTTCTCAAGTTACCACGAACAAGCCGAGATTAAACTAATAACGCGAAGACGAGAGGAAACGCGATGTTTCTGAGCGACGTGGAGGAGGTGAGAAAAGAGAGAACGATCGTCTCGAACAGACGAGGGGCAGTTGTTAGCACAAATAATTTTCCTATCGATTTATCAGTCGAAACATAGTAATAGATATGTACAGACGAGTGCCAGGTAAGAAGAGATAATAAAATTAATTGGGAAATACGTGCTCATTGATTATTGTACATACTTTCATAAATCGATTTTTAGCGATTTAGATGTACCTATAGGTTTTTAAGCCAGTGACATTAATATGTAAACTATACATATAAGCCTTTATCTAGCGTACAATTACCGATAGATATAAGATGTTAGCTATAAGATTTATAAGCTAGACGTACGATCGGCTTACAATGTTATACAGGCTCGTTTCTCGTGGCGTGCTTTGGCATTCGTTAAATACGGAAATACGCTCCGAAGTAAGACGTTGACGCTCGAAGAAAAGAAAAAGAGACAGAGAATTCACAGAGACACTCGGCGCCGATTTTTCTCACCGTAATCGCACTGTTTCGTATCTAACGTACGTTATGCAACGTTGTTTCTCCCCCGTTTTGTTTTTTCCCCCCCGCAGGAGAGATAGAAATATAATGTACATAGTTTTTACCCGAAGTTAATGAGAACCACGCCACGAGATCGATCCGCAAATGTAAAAAAAAGATTATATATACATATACATATATATATTACACACATATATATGTATTATGAATTCTTACATTGTTACTTATATATATATATATATATATTGCTAATAAATCTTAATTTTACATTTAAGGCTTACGCTAAAAAAAAACGTGGGTGAGGTTATTAACTGCTGATTTTAACATTTAAGAAAATGTATAAAAAATATTTCATATAAAGATTATACACTAGATCGCGCAAGGGGTGATTAGGTTTACGTACCAGTCTAGAGACGTGCGTTTTGAGGAGGGACCGTATTAATAATTTCCGAATCGTCGGTTCGTTTATTCGCTGAACCTTATCTTTTTTTATCTATTTTCTCAGGACTCTTTATCGCGGATTCAGATCAGCCGCTTCAATTCTGTTTCGCCAAACGACACAATCGATTGAGATGCCCTTTCTCGAATAACGTAAAGCTCCATAAACAGAATTACATCTATAACGTTACCAATTTCTTAGTAGTGCCATTGTTTTTATATGTCTTGATAGGTAGCTCTCTGTTTCTCTCTCTCTCTTTTTTTTAAAATCAAACAATACGTCGGCGGAAAGAGAAAGCAAAAATTGAAGCGTCAACTTGGAAGAGGCAGAATTTGTTAACGGGATCCCTCCTTAAACGAGCACAGCAGTGTATGATTTTACCGAGATGCATCCTCAGCGGTGAGAAGAGACGAGCGCAAAATTCATTTATACAGACGAATCCGCGCATTTTGCCCTCGATCAGTCGTCAATCGCGATCCGATCTCAAGAGATAGCGTTACCTATGTTACGCAATATGTTACCCATGATATGTTAATGTACCTTCCTAAGAAAGAAAGTCTCCGACTCCGGGAGTGAACGCTTCTTCCGGGCAATCGAGCTTAGCATTTAGAGTTGGCCGTATTGGCATATTAAGTAATTATATATATATCAATAATTATACTGTAAGGGAGCATTTTCCTTATTACACTAATATATTATATTATCTGCATGAATGATTTAATATGCGGTCAACTAAACACTAAATATGACGAAGAGTAAAGATTTGTTGCGGCCATTCATTTCCTACGTCGGTTGAATACGATCGTCTCCTGAATAATTTTCATTTCCGTAGTTCGGAAGACTTTCTTTCTCAGCAGGGCAGATTAGTGATATCGTGCACCATTGCCTACTTTATCTCGTTATTATCCGTCTCGTGCGCGGTACAGCGAAATCAGCTCGTATCGTTCGCTTCATTAACTTTTTCTACTACCTTACGTGTGTGCAGTCATTATTTCCGCAATATACCTGTAATCACGAGATCGCGTTGCGCTTGTGCGAAATTATTCTACACAAAGTCTAGTCGCTTTAGCCGATTGCTAGCCCCGGTATCTCTTGCGAAATTTAACACCGGGACGACCGAAACTCACCCGATTCTCGAGACCTTCGGGCGTCTCGTCCGGCGCCGCCGGCTTCGCCGGACGCGCACAAACTCGGAAATAAGGGCGTAACTTCCTTCGGGCCGCATTTTCGTTCGCAGTACAATAGTGCCTTCGAGAAGAACTTAACTTCCGGACTGTTATGAAAAAGTCGCATTACTCATGCATTTCCAAATGATGCACAATAAAAGAAAAGAAAATAGGGGGAGGGAGAATAGTATAGCCGCGAATTTAGGATACATTTTAGAGGATCGCTAGGGAGAGAACTCTCGTAGCGATGGGGGTCGGTCCTCGGTGGGGAGGGGAATGCGAGGTCGCGGGGCCGACGGATACGGATGAAGCCCAAGTCCAAGCCTTTCGTTGGAGATATAACGCCGCATATTTTTTCAAATTCCGACACGGAGCCACCTGGAGTGGCCAGGGGGTCCTCGGGGATCCTCGGGGGAGACGACGGAACACCCGATTAATCCACGTGGCTTCGGCAGGACGCGTTTAAATGCGCATCGATGCGCGACGACTGTAAATAAAAAGAAAAGAAAAAGAATACTTATATATAGATATACACACACACGAAGTAAATTACAGACGAACGCCGGCTTAGGGACTCGGGAAGAGTGATAATGTATATGACGCGTGTATAGGATGGCTTTTGCGAATGTGGGCGCGTAGTCGACAGTTGTAACGTTTGTGAATACATAAAATAAAACGACCAAAAAAACCGAGATCACATGGGGTTCTTCGTACCGCACCATTGTCTGTCTCCCGTCCTCGAAGGACATCCTGGCGAACTTGACCCGTTTATTTACTATTGTCAATAATGATTATTTAGTTGTGTACCTTTGCGATTATTTCGTGATATTTAAGTTGATTATTTGATGATTATTTAGTTATATATCTTTTAATATACTGTGAGAAACCGAAATTTGAGGACCACGTCCCTCTGCTCTTTCGAAAATAGCTACGTATTGACGTGTCTCTTGTGTTATCGAAGCGTGTACCTTGCGTATATATTTTGTACGCCGCTTTTCTGCCCCGGTTCCACCCGTAAGAAGGTTTCGGGCTTACGGCTTTAACGCGTTACTCTCTCAGGAAATACGTTCCGTATTTAATTTACTTGTGGTGGCGGTTGATACGTTCACTGTTATTGAACTCGACGAATGCAATTGCTACACGGAGAGAATTTTCTTTTTCAAATTTATCCTTGAAGTGTAATCGTGGCACCACACGGCATTTCGAAGAGTTTTATGAGAGTTTCTTGAAATTTTACCATACATTTCACTAGTAATTATACTTGCTGTAAGACCAAAGTTAAGCGACGTTGAAACCGGACCTTATCCCTAGCGGGAAAAAATTCTATAACTACAAAAATTGACTTGAAACAGAAATTTTTATATCTTCGTCGAAACATTTATTTTCTTGTAAAAATATCTACGAAATCGTACCGCGAATTACGATGTTCTCAGATCAAGAAATTATTGCAAGTAGTATTTCATGAAGATGTACAATTGTGTAAAAATTAGTGCAAAACTGTACTAGTTTCAAAAATTTGAGAAACAAGATCTTAAAGAATGAAATCGTCTGCTTAAGCGTTCCAATTCTAGCATTTTCATGTTAATTTTTATAACACCTTTTAAATTTACGTAGACTTTTTTTTAGATGTCCCCAAAAATTCCTGCACTTAAAAATAAGATAAAATATACATACACTGGGCGTTGGACTGATGTGAGAGAAAACCAAGTTCCGAAGTGCAACAAATGCAAGCAGCGCGAACGGATCTCTTGGGTTTGGACACTATTAAAAAAGAAGAAGAAGAAGGACCTCTTGAGTGCTCAACAACGCAAAGTCAAAGAACTTAGCTTCTTCAGTTCGTGTTTAGAAACGAAGAAACTGTGGAAAAACAGACTGACGTTCCTATTTCTTGCTGTGTACGCCGAGGGATATTCAAACGGGGGAAGAGTGGAACGCGAGGCGGACGCGAAGCGATCGGCTTTCAAATTTGTTGAAGCATAAATATTATGACTGTAATATAGATAAGTTATATAAACAACCATGGTTGAGCGAAAGGTACGTACCGTCAAAAAGTACTCTGACAAAGATTACGCGGAGTTTTATCATGTTACATGAGCAGAATTGCAATAATCTGGCCCTAACCTAGACGCTTCATTTCAGGCTGCGGTGAAGCTGTCGCTTCGAAACGTTTGCAGCGGCAGCTTGACCGCAGCGTCAAAGTAACCGAGAGCTCGCTCGTTCGCGGTTGACGGCGCGTAAAATTCTACGAAATTGCTTTTCCTATTCTAGTAACGTTCTCTCACGTCGTGTTCAAGGTATAAAACATTTTTCTCTCGACCGCTCGCTTACATAAACTCTTTCTTCGCAGAAGAGCAACGCTTGGTGCGTTTCGTCATTCGACTGCGAGCCTGCAAACAAGCCGCCGCCGAAGCGCACCGGTAAAGCGGCATCGAGCAAGGCTGTGTTCGGCGAAACGTTTGCGCAAAATGATCCCAAGAGGAAAAAGCGCGAGACCAGCTTGTCGAAGCTGCTCCAGGCTTGCGAGCCACGAAAGCCCGCCGAACTGGCGGTCAGCAAGCGGAAGCAGAACGAGATCTGCGACTGGCTTCAGTCCAAGGCGTTAAGGGGACGACCCTCGATGCTGGTCCTCGCCGGCCCTTCCGGCTGCGGCAAAACTGCAACCGTAAGGTTGCTCGCCGAGGAAAACGGTTTCAATGTCATAGAGTGGATCACGCCGGTCGACCCGGCCGAGGACGAGAACAGTAACAATCTGTTTTTCAAATCCGAGCTACTTCGTAACATATACACGGTGACGTTGCAACATGCTTAGGCCTCTTTTCACCAAACGTTCAAATCTTAGTTTGATTCATGTTTGTGTGTGTGTCTCTCTCTAAAGTAACAGTTGAGACAAGGAATGAATTCCAAGCTTAAAGTTGAACAACGTTGGTGAAACCTGACCACAAGCGATTCCCTCCAAATTTTGGAGCGTACGTTGCATATCGCCTTGTGACGGCACCGCGTATACAGCCTGTAATAACTCGTGACTTTTAATTGCTTCCAGACCGAGTGATGCGGCAAGGAGACAGATTCGAAGACTACCTGATACGCGCGACGCGTTATCGCACGGTGTTGGGCGACTGTTTCAAACAACTGCTCCTCGTTAAGGACATCCCGAATGTCTATCAGGAGAACTGCAGCAGCTTCTTCGTGCTCCTGGAGTGAGTGGACGCTTCGCCGACTTGTTACGAACCGTTTAGACCCTGTCCGCGCCGCTGCAATGTTGTTCTTTACAAATGTCTCTCTCTAGAAAATATTTCCAAATAGGAAGGGAACCCGTGATATTCGTCTGCACGGAGTCCGGGAATTCCAGACTGATGTACACACTATTTCCACCTGACGCAAGGGTGAAACTCGGTATTGATCTTATCAAGTGAGTCGATCGTAATTCCGGAGTTAGATTTCTGTCTGTCAATGACTTCCATATAGTTTGCAGTTTCCTGTCCTATCCGTTTCTTTTTGCATACTGATGCGTTCTCTCGAAACCAAGTTAAACGTGATCTATTTGTACAGTGTAAACGCTGCCACACATATCGCGATGAAGAACGTGCTGACACGAGTGTCCAGCACGTTGAACTCCATCGCCGGCGACATGCTACAAGTGTCTCAGCGACACATTGACGAGATACTGTCCAACAGCATCGGCGACGTACGCAGCGCAGTACTAAATCTAATTTTCGTCTCTCTCAAAGGTACGTGCACCGATAATCGAACCAGCAAGCGCAAGTCTGCATTGTTCCTATGATTATTAGTGCCCCAGCTACAACTGCGGAGCGAGTGCGGCGTGCGGGAGGAGATCTTGGGTCTGCTACACGGCATCGGGAGAGTCACGAATCCGAGAAGTAATTGAATTTCACCTCTGGACCCGTCGAATTCGTTTCGCGAATTAATCGTAATTTCTATGTTGCATTTTAGGAAAGTGGCACGGCAACTCCTACAAGTTCGTACACGATCCCGAGGAAATAGCGGCGTTCTTCCAGTCGCAGTCGGTGGTGTTCGTCCAATTTCTCCAGGAAAATTATCTGAATACTATGAGAACCATGGAGGAAGCCACGGTGGCGGCTGATATATTGAGCCTGGCTGATGTTCTAAATTCCGAATGGCGTGTAAGTCTGACTGAAATTTTTTTCACTTTTGTCAATGTAAAATTATTATAGTAGAGGAAAGTCTCCTATTACGAGATAAGCTTCTGATATTCCATATTACGGCAGGATCGCAATTTAAGTAAAGTTGCGCTATCGTACAGCATCCGCGGCTTGATGCTGACGAACGAGAAGCCTGTAACTGGCTGGAACCCAGTGAGAAAACCGCCGGATGATCGCAGTAACATGCAAGCATCAGAATATATTAATTATTTCAATTATCTTTGTTATATTCTTCGTTGTCGCGCGATTGTTACATTTTATATTTCACTTGCAGACGAAGGTGTTTGGCAACGGCAGAAGCGCGCTGTTACGAAGCTATAATTAAGCCTACTTCGAACAAGACGAATGAAACATTGGCCGAGGATGAGGAGACAATTATCGAAGAGGATTAAGACACAGTTGAATTAATTAATGCGAAATACTCTTTTTCATACTTGTTCCTTCTCATTATAGCTTTCCTCCAATAAATTTCCTGCAAAATAGAAATGAATTGAAGGTACTTTGTTATAAAACTTCATTACATGTTTTCTTCAATTTTCCTGCGAAATAAATTGGAAACAAGAGTAAAATTGCGCGCCTTTACGCCCAGTTTTACTTTTGGAACTATTTTGCTGTGCATTTTCTGACACTGCTAATAAAGTCACCACTTTGTGCGCGTCCATGCTACGCCTATTTTTCAGGATTCAAATAAAGATTTTATGATATATAGAAAATCTATAAATCTATATATATAAATATCTATTTTTTATGACTAACTTATCTAAATTATGAATGTAAACCGTGGTATTTTGTCGCGGTTACATCTCGTTTACGCACCGCGCTTTTAGTTATCTATCGATTTCGTGTAATCTGTTGCATTTTCGGGAAAAGAGAGGAACTTGTGCGACTTCGGCCTCGGCGTTCGCGCTGTAAGTTCGAATCGCTCTGTCGTTCTTCGCAACTCGAACGGGCAGGAAGTGAAGAAAGTCGCTTATCGCACGTCGTTACATTACGTAAATGTAATTGAAAATTGTCTCGATTAACTGTTGCAATTAATAACAACTATTTATCGCTGGAAATTTCGCTCACGTAATTTATTTCGAGGATTAGATTGTGAAAGATCATTTTGTTGCGGACTAATAACTATTTCTTTATCGCAGATTGTGCTTCCGGTGCTCGCGTTGCGTTTTATATTCGCCAATTCAAAAGTGATAAATTACATGCTTCTATGTAAACGAGGTTTAATGCGTGGTCTACAATGCGAGTCGCAGAGTCGTAGTCGTAAGAATAATCGACTGCGATTGGTCAATTTCGTCAGACACATAGGAATTGACCAATCGTAGTCGACTATTCTTACGACTACGACTTTACGACTTCTATGTAGACGAGGCTTAATTTGTCAGCAATGCGAGTCGTAGTCGTAAGAATAATCGACTGCGATTGGTCAATTCCGTTAGACACATAAGAATTGACCAATCATAGTCGATTATTCTTACGACTGCGACTCTGCGACACTCGTTGTAGACCCTGCATATGGCGGCGAACGGCGTTTGCGATTTGCACCACTGGCACGGTCGAGCACAAGGAAGTAACCGCGTGTTGTGTGTCGCTAGGTTATAGAGATTAAATTCGATCTTGTCAGATCTGCCGCACGTGTGCGCACGTACAGTGCGTTACTGAGAGATACATATATATCGTTGCGTCCATCAAATTAGTCCAAATAATAGAAACGACTTGTGTAAAGAGGAATGGCAGTGAGGAAACGCGGGCGGCGTGGTGGCCGGGCATCGTCGCAGAGAGGCGAAACGCCAAATGTTGGCGGCGAGACGCGAGCCGAAGGGACGAAGGGCAAGAGCGAAAGAGCTCTGGTCGTCGCGCAGGAAATCAAGATCGCGCGATTATTGGCCAACAATGACAAGAAAGTCCGCGACAAGGTGCTGAAAAGAGTGAAGAAATGGTTAACGGTACGATCGCAGAGTTCGTTTGGTAAGTCAACTCGCGATACGTCGCTACGGCGAAGCGTTAACACAGATGTATCCGATATTAATTTCTCGTAATTTCACAGAGTTCACGCGGGCGGACTTCATGAACTTGTGGAAGGGCCTCTTCTACTGCATGTGGATGTCGGACAAAATGTTGATCCAGGAAGAATTGGCGGAGTCGCTCAGCAAGCTTGTGCACTGCTTGAATTCGATGGACGCGATTGTACTTTACACCAGCTGCGCCCTATGGACAATCTCCAAAGAGTGGTTCGGCATAGACCAGTACAGGCTGGACAAGTTCTCCATGGTACATTCGTCGGTTGAATATACATTCCTTAATGTACAAGCGGGAAAACGCCTGGGCACAATGTTGATCTTGTCTCTCTTTGGTTTCCTTGAAGTTGGTCAGGAGGATCCTCCGCCAGTCGTTCGTAGTCTGCAAGAACCAGTCCTGGGACATGAAGTGGGTTATGGAAATTTGTCGGGTATTTAGACAGCTCTTTTTAAATGTGGACACTGGCATAGGATTCAATCTGCATATGACGGAGATATATCTGGAGGAGCTTGCCAAAGTATGGAACGACAGAACAGTCCGTTAAATTATTTGCCTCATTTTTATTAAAAAATTTCACTTGTACTATTGTCGCGTAGGTTAGTAATGGTGATATACCAGAGGATGTAGTCCACGAATTCATCAAACCGTTTGCTGACTATCTAATACACACGCATGACGAGAGGCAGATGAAGCATATCATGCGACATGTTTTCAGATATTTGATATTTCAATCGGACGTTGGTTTAAACTACATGGAGAAATTCAATGCTTGGAAAGGCGTAAGTATATGTCTGAGGTACAAAACCATATTTCAATACGCGACACGATGTATTTGTTGATTTATAAACGTGTGTGTTATAAATAGGCTGGCTTTCCCTGCACGCGTATAGACGATATGCAAGAAATAGAGATGTCTGATGCAGAGGAAAATTCTAACAGTGAGGGTAAACAGTTTCCTGAAACTGTTGCGCAAAATGAAACTGAGAAGCCTCTGGATCCAAGAGCAGGTAGAGTGAATGTCGAGCTACCGCAGATACCTTTTAATGCTGCGAAGATTGTAAAGTTGCTCACAGAGTATACGTTGCACCCGTCGTCAACGGCAAGATCGCGCAGACAAGTCATGAGACTTCTCGAAGAGTATGTATTTTATTTAATCTATCAAGCTACATTTGACTTGTACGTTCGTTTTCAATAATAAAATTTGTATCTTCAGATACAAGGAATTGGCGCAAGGAAGGATGCCGCTCGGAATAAAGAGAGTTAGAAAACTAAATTCCTATAAAAAAGAGACTGATTCGAGAAAAGCGGCGTTGCGCCTTATCAAGTTTGAGAAAAACATGCTTTCCGACCAGGTGAAAAAACGAAAAAGAGAAAATGAGAAAACGGTCTGTAATGAAATTTCTATTAATGATCCAAAGAAGGGAGATGCTTCAGCTCTCGAGTCTAATGCTGATTCGGAAAGTGAACTAATCAATACAACTGCAACCGCAAAGGCTGATTTAGAACAAAATACAGATGCAGATACGGTACCATTAAAAAAACTGAAAAGAAGCGATTCGACGTGTGATATATCTAGCACTAAATTTTTGTATGAAAATGGTATTAATGTAGAAAATACTCGAAAGCTTAAGAAGAAGCTAATAGAAAATTCCAAAAAGAGTAAAGTTGAAAAAGTAAAATTGAATCAGAAAAATAACAAATCTACGACAGAGAAAAATGTAAAACGTAAAACAAAAAAAGCGGTAATTCGTGACGTACAAACTTCTGGAGACGCTGATCAATGTGTTTCTATCTCGCCAATTTGCAGCATAGAAATTCCATCGCAAGAAACTAATAACAAGTCTGTAGCTAAGAAAACGAAGTCGAAAATCAAGCACAAGCCGCAAGAGACGCCATTAAAAAATGTAAATGCTAATTTAATGTTAGCCCTATAATTAAGGTGTATATTCTGTAAACTATATAGCACTGTAGAGCAAGAGAGAAAGGACGAAAAAAAAGAATGAGCTACAGAGTTATAGAATTTATAGAACAAAAATTTTCGCATGGAATACACTCCTAATATTGCTCCTGTAATGCATTATAAATTATAAGACGGTATTTCATTGTCTTATTGCAGAAACTGTCACGTCAGACAAAGAAGCAAACCAATTTAAACAATTTCCCTCTGGAAAAGAAAAAGGTAATGTTCGGGCTCTCTCGGAATACTGCGCATCACACATCCGAGTATCTCCAGCAGCTCCGTAAAAGCCCGGGTATTCCGTTCGACGCAAATAAAAAACCGCTAGCCAGTGTGTTGAAAATGAGTCCTATACCAAGTCCGCTTAATCCATTTTACAAAAAATGCACAAAATAATGGCATGTTATACAAATAAGAAAATTAAGTAAATTTCAATTGTAATTTAGTAATTCAGTGATTGATAACAGGTATATGTAAATATCTCTACTTTAAGCTTTATCTACAATGTGCTTTTCTCATCTAAAAACATTCTATTTTGTAGCCAATAAATACGTAAGCAATTTATGCAAGTTGATAAATTATACATTATTTATTGTACTATTATATCGACAAATTTTTAAGCGTATTATACGAAATAGAGTGCTTTTAATCGCACATTGTAGATTTAGAACTTTTAAATGAACTTATTAATTCAGGTTTATTGTCAGCGGTATTTACGAAAATCTTGACTCATCTCCTACCGAGAACTTTTTTGTACAGAAATAAAAAAGGGTATACACATGTTTTTGTAATAAATACAACTGCAGTTAATGTAAGATTATACATTTATTTTAAATTAAAATTAAATTACTGTTTTTTTAACTTAAATGACAGTAGCATAAATGTGTACATTCTCAATACGACCGATGTGCAATAGAACGAAAGTTTTTTATTGCACTATTCGTGACTATTCATTTATTTTCATTTTGAAATTTTTTATTCTGTATTTTGTTATTGATACTGCTCGAATCAAGAGATACGGTAGCATGCGGCGGCGAGCGGGTACATTTACAACTTAATACACCACATATAACATTACAATCTTAGACACTGTACGTAATACGCAGAATATGTTGTTACATGAAATGTTACAGAGATAGAGGAAAGTTCCCTATTATGAAGTAGGCTTTTAATGTGAAATAACGGAGTTGCTGCTAAATTAATGAGCATCATCTGTTGGTTTCACCATGAATTTATCTCCCTTGGAGTGAAATCTGTTTAGTGGAAAATTGTTAGATCGCATATAATCGTTGCGAGAAAAACTTTGTGAGTGAATTTGGACATTGAAAACCTACTATTTCATATTAGAGTCCTATCTCATAATACAGGACTTTCCTCTATGTTACGATATTAATAATATATGTAACAACTTTAGACATTACACACACTTCACATCGTTATTCGACAATCAACATCTATTTGCACAGAAAAATTCTAATACACGTTGCACTAATAACTTGCTTAATCTATGAGCTCAATCTGACTTACGTACAGGTGAGACAGATTATTATGATTAATTTTTATAATTTTCTTTATATTTTCTGTTAGAGTTATATAAAAGACAAATTATTAATTTTGCTTTTATAGAGTTCATACGAGATTTCAAATACATTACATTTACAATTTATATAATTTTAATTATATTTCCTATTAGAACTATAAAAGACAAATAATGAATTTTTCTTTTATATGTAAAGTTTATACGAGATCCCAGGTACATTACGATTACATAAAGAAAGTATTCTTTTAATATTTCTTGTTTTAATTACACATACACGCCGTATATGAATTTTCTACAGCTACATTCATTGCGTGAACGAACTCTTATAAAACTATTTTGACTGCTTATATCACTTTGGCACGTGAATTCACTTTTAGTTGTTTACCATTTTAATGCTCAAAATCGTTAATTTGTAACTATTCTATTTTATCTAGACTATACTGGAGAAAATAAATTATTTTCTACATACTATCGACTATGCGAGTTATATGCGACGTAATGAAAGTAAGTGCTTCACACATTTAATTATAGAATACATGATGTAACGTGAGGTATTCCTTAATAATTAGATCTTTGGTAAAATACTTCTTATCTCCGCAGAAGGTATTTAAAACAATTAACTGTAAAATTACGTATCCATTTGAAAGTCATTAATTTAGAGCTCTGCATTCATTAGAAATCGTTCATTTCTAATGAACATTACGACGCTCTAAAAAAATTAAGCATACAAAAAAGGAGCTCGAAATATAGAAAATAATATACATAAAGATGTCCTACTGATATAATATACATTCTTTTCGAATAATTCCTCAAACTTTTTATTCTATTCTGAAAAGTAACGGAGAAATTTTAAATAGTAAAGATAAATAGATCTCATCTTTTTTGTGTATATGTTTGTGTGTTTTAAACATTCAATTTATTTTTATCAATTTTTATTAGAAATTCATTGCAGTAAAAATTAATATTTCTTTCAAAACGTTATTGTTTCAGTAAGTTTCTGAAAAATTTATATATGTTTTACAAATATAGACATTTTTCCATTAAATATATTTCTGTAAAAAATGCATTTTTATGTAATATCAATGTCAACGGAAAGCAGCAATGTTCGCAGGTGTGTGTGTGTGTGTGTGCTTGTGTGATTAGAAACACGATCATCACGTCTTAAAAAAAAGAGGATGATACGTGATTACATTTGCCGCAAAAATTAAGTGCCGAGACAACTTCGATAGTGTGATTCAATTTTGATTCCTGCAAGTCAAAATTAACAACAGAAATATCGCTTGCATATCTCTAATTTAGCGGAATAATAGACTTCTATTCTCATAAAACTAAGATACCCTCTTATCTCTTATCGCACTATCATTACACGTATTTCACATAATTACACGACAATCTAATTAACATCTATTTGCACAGAAAAATTTTAATACATATTTCACTACTAACTTGCTTAATCTGTAAGATGTACAGGTGGGACTGATTATTATTTATAATTTTAATTACACTGTCTACACAGAGCTATACAGGGTGTTTCAGGGTTAAGTGTCCTAACTTAAAATATGAACTTAGGACCTCAAAACAAGAAAAAACTTTCCTCTGGAGACATGTCCGTAAACGTTTTGTTTCAGAGATATTGACATCTAAACATTTTTCATTATAAAATTTTATGAAATTGTTATCGGGTTATAATAAATAATTTAATAGTGTGCTTCAACTACTTTATTATTAGGGGGTTTCGGAAAGATGACGGAGTGAGAGGTAGTGACAGTGAGAGATCTGAGAGAAAAGGCGAAGGAAAAGTGGAAGGAAATGAGCAGGAGAGGAGGAAT